CTGGATTTTTTTCCTTATTAGATGTATGCTTTCTGAAGGAGAAGTCCTTGACTGACAGTTTTCTTGGCATGGAAAAAATTCTGGGTTTATTTCAAATGAAAGTGGAGCTTCTCTAACCATGCCGAGCTATAAATGCTGTCCTATGAAGCGTGTGAACAAGTAACTGCCACCAGTGCAGGCAGAGCAGGGCATGAGTTCTTGCCTTAGGTGGAGTTCATCACTTATCCAGCACGATCTGAGCACATGTGTGTTCTTGGAGTCCTGCATGCAAATCAACATTGACTACCTTTGACCACTTTTGTAAATAATAGAAATGATAGAAAAACTTTTTAAAATAACTACAGATTTCTGGACCATTCTTGTAGCTTATCCAGGAAGAGTGCAGGTGTCCTTTCCAATAGGGTAACTCCATTCTGGCACTGAATCTCACAAAACTTGTTGTTTACTCTGAATAATAAGTTGCATTCTTCATAATTTTTGTAATTTAGAGGTAAGTGCGCAGGGCAGAATATAAAGAAAAAAGTTGTAAGTGTATTAACAAGTCACAGGACGTGTGATTCAAGTATTTACAGGAAAAAGATAATGTGATTTTCAGAAGTACCAACTGGTGGAGCTAAGCAAGCAGTGCCACTGCATGAGGCACTGACAGGACCTTGTCTGAGCTGTGTCCAGAATGATTGCATTGCACAAGTAGGGGGGTTTTGAACACCAGTGGTTGTGAAGAAGTGCTGTTGAGACAATTCATATTGGGAAGTTTATCTTGTGGAAGGGAAGGTAGAAGCTCCTCATCCATTCCTTACCAAAGGCTGAGACCTCCCACTCCATAGGCACCAGGAGCACTTGGAGCTGGCCCATCCATGTGCAGAGAGGCAGGTCAGAACTAACCCACCTGGGAGAGCCATCAGCTTCTTAAACCAACCTACAAGTCACTGATGCACTTCCTTGTCAACACTGCTGCCACAAGAAAATCTCCATTCCAGGTTCATAATGTGGCTTTAGAAAGCCCCAGAGGTTCATGCCCTCAATAACAATTAACATCTAATAAGGAAAAAAATCCAGTGTGTACAAGTAATGTACCAAAAACCCCTAACAAAAAAAAATTATGTAACGACTATAAAAAGCTTGGTTTTGAAGGATTTCAAGTGTTTCTTCTGTATTTATAGGTCATGGTCCTGTCATGCACAAGCAGTTCTCAAGATAATAAACTACAAGGATGATGAAAAATCATTCAGTCGTCGTATTAGTCACTTGTTCTTTCATAAGGAGAATGACTGGGGCTTTTCTAACTTCATGGCCTGGAGTGTAAGTAATGGACATGTATTAATCTATTGCTAGATAGGAGCAGTTTTGTACTTGTACTCCTGCATACTGAGATGCTGTTAGCAAAGGGCTTTTTCCCCCAAACCTTTATTTTTTTCATCATTGTTGTAGATTTCTTCTCAATTTCTTACTCTATTAATTTGATTTTTGTAGAGTGCTTTTACTTATGTTGTAATTTAAATATTCCCTCATTTTTATTTTCTGCCTGAGTGCTTGTGTTTTGTTATCATGGTCTGATAGTCAATGGCATTCTGAAGCAACATAAATTTGCTTGCATTTCCTTATGTTCTTTGTGTATATGTACATGTATATTTAATGCCCTGATAATACTACTAAGGTTTCTCTTGACTTGTGACAGCTTTTTAAGCATTTGTAAGGGTTTTGGAATATTGTCCAGAAGAAGCAGAACATTTGATTACCAGCTCTTACATCATTGAAAACTGAAAAACTACTGCAGAATCTTAAAAGGCGGGAACAAGTTTCCTGCATTGAGACACTAAAAACAAATTAAAATGTAGTGAGCTGAAAAACAATTGCTTTGGTGTTCTTCGGTTTTTCTTCTTCAGTTTATTACTACTGATAGCTCAGGCTTAGAAATTAGAAAGTGATGTCTAAATGGATGTTTCACTGCAGTCCTGTTGCATGTTCCACTTCTCATGTTCCTGTGTCATTTGTGTTTTACAGGAAGTTACTGATCCTGAAAAAGGCTTTATAGAAGAGGACAAAGTTACTTTTGAAGTCTATGTTCAAGCAGATGCTCCACACGGAGTAGCGTAAGTATCTTTGATTAAAAACAAAGCAATATTAAGAATTCTTAATTCTAGTATTTTTATGTTGTTTGGGATCATTCAAGTATTTGGTGTTACTGCCATTTGTAG